TCAAAGTTACCCATATTTTTTAATCAGGATCTAAGCTTCGAATCTTCTCCTATTATAAGCATTCATTCGACCTATTGGCTATTATTATTTGAATTACTATTCTGAGGCCATTCCCAGTCTATTAGTTACAGTCTCTCACAGATACTTTGGGATTGATCTTGTATAATTGTTATTTTCTACTTTATGACATGATGCAGTCTGGTTTGCTTGTATATAAACTGCGTAGGTCTGGAATCCATAATTCATACAGTAAAAGCTGAGATTGTATTCTGAACCTGACGGGCAGGGCAAGGAGAACCAATAAGGACTCTGTTGTGTCTTGTGACTGTAGATTAGATGCGCAGCGAATTATCGATTGGACCAAAGACGCGTAAACACGTGAGAACGACCTAGAGTCTCGATTGGCTCTGCTTCGCTGTCTAGCCCAGCCAGGTGAGTCCAGAACACAAGTCCCAGCCTCTGAGATATGAATCATTATATTTCAGACATACTCTGTTTATAAACCAACCAAACAGACCACATCGTACCATAAAATAGAAAACAACATTTGTACAATATTTAACAAGTGAAATAAATATTGACCGATAGGGAATTTCGATTTAAAGTCCAAGGACACCATTAGACTTAACATGATAATTATTGGTATATTTTTCCCAATATCCTAACAGACTCAGAGTTGACTCTAGACTTCTCGTACTGGTTAAGGCGTCATTGGTTTGGTACAGTACCAAGGTCATATAAGTCGTCGCTATAATTGGTGATCTTGTCACATGGTGGTTTACTGACTCAAGGACATAACAATACCGAGCGATCCGAGAATCAGCTATCTCGCGATTGTAGCTATGCTATGCTGACGAGTGCCTATTGCCACAAAGCATGGTCATGGGGGCTCTTTTCGATGACTTCCAATCAACAGTCATTTAGTGACAGATCTTCTCTACAATATATTTCAAATGTAAAGGGAAACTATAAAAGATGACGTATTAACTGAGTTCACAAGTCACTTAAACGTTTGACCAAATAAGCATATCTATAAAGAATACTGTTTAAAGTTGTCAGCTCAATGAATTCCAGAAACAGACATGATTCGAGTACAACTGATCTGAATAAATAGTTGCAAATACACGGTAATCTCTAACCCGAATAAAATGATTGTGATCACCAAACGAATGTATCATACCAGTGTATTTAATCTGATTGAACTTGAGTTTTTACACCATTAGAATATAATATCTCCCATTTTAGTAAGCTAAGGATATTTCGATTTATTTCTTTTTTATCAAAACGAACAATGCCGCAAACCTTTGGTTCGTAGTTAGACGTGAGTCACTTGCCTTTGTTTGTGCTAAGTGCAACAAAATAAGGTCATATATTGTTTACAGTTTGTATTTCTCACAGTGTAGTTCTTTTTTAAATAATAGTCTAGTTTAACGTTCACCATCCTGAACATTCAGTTTATATCTGATATATTTACATTCACCAAGTAAAATCTGACCTTTCCGTGCTTTAATAATAATTTACTAACAAAATATCTTTTTTTCACATAATGTTAGATTCCATTTTTAGAATGATAGTTGACTTAATGTATAATGCCGTCTTAATAAAGGGAACAGTTTTGTCTAAATCCTTCTTGTACCCATGCATGCATATATATATATATATATATTGTCAAATTCATCGTATTCGCACATTTACTTGCTTTTCCCTTTAAAAAGATTATTGATTATACAACATTGAAATTTGATTCGTCGCTAATACTGAACACATAGTTTGGATTCATAATAGAAATGGTCATTAGACATTCTTTTTATTTTTAGATTTAGCATTTAATTTCACTTTTCAAAACCTAGAATAATAGTTTGGCTCCATTTTTTGATAATGTTTTTATTTTACTATATGGCGTTTCATGAATATATGAATTTACGAAACTTACCAATGTCTCCTTCCAGAGACTAACTTCTGAGACTTCTGGTACCCACTTACCTAAATTCATCGTACTGACTGACTCTTCCCGAAATGACCAAACATGTCCTTTAGCTATATTCTTACCCTAATGTTGTTTCGCTGCCTTTAGTTATGTTCTCTTGAGCACTTCGAACCAACTATTAGAGATCTCTTGTCAAATACATATCTTAAAAACGCTTATTTTTTATTCAACTCATGTATTATTCATTTAACTGATTCAGTCTTTGTTTCACTACCTATATTTTTTACCGCCATTAATTTAAATGTAATCGGTAGAAAGATAATAAATTACGTCTAATCTTCCTGTTATGGAAAATAATTTCAGGAAAAGGAATAAATATTTTATTGACTCTATTCATTATTTAATGGCTGATGAGTATTATCGCCTAATTTGTATGGAGATTTGCCTAGAGTGAGTCAACAGTGCTCATGAGAATCTCAAAACTGTAATATTTTTCCTTCAATGTTCAAAACACCCCACTAATGAACGATTTAAATAAAAAAGGAAACTTAGATCAAGAGACGTTTTGCTCACTAAATTTTACTATGCGAAGTTCAACAAATTATTCTAAAGTGTTTAGCTGCATAACTTGATGAAGTCTGTCTACGATGTGGTAAAATAATGCTTGTCGACACGGTGAAATGAATAATATGTAATGGTAGTTGACTGTCTTTAACTTAGTTGTATTTTAGCATAGTGGGCCTGTGGAGACTGCTGAAGTTCTATAGTCTATATGACAGACTGGTCTTAGACAACAATTAAGAACTTAAAAATCTGTTGATAGCTGCTTTGTTCTAGAATGGGACTTCTCACCAGTATGTCACCACGAAACCACTGAAGACCACATACACGAATTTTGGCCTAACAGAAAGCGCTTAACTCCTAGACTACTAAACCGGGAGCTAGTACTAATCAACATTAACAATGTTTAAAGTAGGTAATTACGTTAGTTTGTAAGAGGTATATGGTGTGAAACGAAAAGTGTTAAGATAACAAATTGTGTGTATACGTAAGTGAGAAGAAGAAATTTCATTCACTCTATATTGTCTTCGATCTGTGAATATTAGGAAAATACCACATGTCTCTTACACACTAATGTAATTACCTACTTTAAACATTGTTAACATTGATTAAATGACTTATTCAGTATACAATGAACCGGAGAACCATGTACCTATTTATTTTCGATAATTTTGATGTTTAACTATATTTCCTTGAAAAAGCTTGGGTCAGATTGCCAGTCGAAACGTTGGATTTACTTTCAATTCATTCGCTGAGATTTTACAAATACATTCTTCCTCTTTGAACTGTAGAGTTACATAGTTCTACCTTATAAATAATAATATTGGTTTAATATCAGTAATTTTTAAATGTAATTACAGTGTGATGTGTGCTACTTATATCGACATAAGTAGTAGATGATGTTAGTTGTGAACAGAAGGTCTGGCAGTAGAGAAACTAAAGGATCGAACAGTAAAGAATGGAAACAGGATGCAATTTGTATGAAAATGCAAGAACAATGAAGTCTGAGTCATTTTGAGACAATTGGTGGATATTTTGCAAATCAAGCATTTACTTTATGATTGTTAGATTTTATTAACATGTCCTGTAATTTTGTGTAAAATACATTCGATTGTCCCCACTCGTGTTCTGCTCACTACAACAGCAATTTTCAAATATTTTTTTGTGTTATGTAAAATCATATGAATGTGTCATAATTTTTGTGAAACTACAATTGCTGTATACTCTGTTTACTTAATTATCTATATTTTATAACGTTAAAAATGGCCCCTAAAGTTAACAATGATATAATGCAGAAATTAACTAACGATCCATCATGCTTATGCCAACTTTTCTATATTGAAACTTTCTTTTGCTGTATAGAATAAATGCATTGTTTATAGTGCTTTGTTTCAGATAAAGAGTACATCTAACCAACAGCTCCTGGGTTCGAATCTCGGGGGCATGATTGTGGATGAGCACTTCTGAGTAGTCTCATACTTAGACGAAACGACTGTCCATTGCTTCCAGGTTTTCCATGGTAGTCTAGCTTTAACTGATTTATGAATTAAACTATTAAATTAATGAAATCTCCACAAAATACCTTTCTGATAATGTGTAACTACATTAAAAATAAGTGTTTTGCTAATCAACTCTTTGACTCCATCTATCAATACGAATATCTTAACATAGGTTCAGTAACTTTAATAACAAACTTTCAGTAGTATTGTCAAATTTCTTTTAAATTTTCAATAAAGTTTAAATAAAATGATCAACGTAACCACATCGCATTATCTAACTTTCATTTCACCGGTTAATTTCATAAATCTCTATTTTATTTGATAAACTAACAAAAAAATTTGTCTAGTTACCTTGACAACTATAATCATAGAATAACAATTGAATTGATATGTATTAATAAATATATAATTAAATAAATATTTTATTCATTAACAGGATGAATAAACATGATAATTCATTGAATTCAATAAATGTTGTTTACTTTAAACCAGTGAAGAAGAAGAAGACGAGGAAAAAGAAGAAGAAGAAGAAGAAGAAGAAGAAAAGGAAGAAGAAGAAGATTGAGAAAATATTCAGTTGATAAATGAAAATTTATTCAAAATGTTTATCAAGAGATAGAATTTGCTAATTTATTAAGAATAAAAAACTGCAACTCTACAAAACTTGAAACAATCAATAATAAATATCATTGTTTATTTATTTATTTTCTTTTCTTTTCGAAAAAAACAGTGTTGATTTGTTTATTTTAAAGATGTTTTAGTAGAAAGATAAGTAAACACTTTGAGTGTGTGTGTGTGTGTGTTTGTGTTTGTGATTTCTCATGTTTAACTATTGACTAAAATGAAAAGTATAAATTAAAAAGCGAAAATTCTATTTTATTTTAAGTAGAAAAAAAGGCTGTCGAGCAAGATGAATTATCGATTTGTATTTGGCTCGTTTCTTTTTTTTGTGTGTTTTACCGAAACTAATGTCAGAAATCATATTGATTGTGAATAATTTTATAATGTAATAATCAACCCATATTTAATGCACCAGCACCTTGTCCAAAACCAAAACCTTTTGGTCCGAAATTTTTTCCATAACAAGCTGACAAATAAAAAAATTCATTTATTATGATTATTATTATTTAGAAAGTAGTAAGTTTATACATAGTAGCTTGACTACTAGAGCTAAAACTTAAGTGGAATAATGAATTACACTTAAAATAAAATGACTGTCTATTCCCCCTGTTCAATTTGTCTAACAACTGAACGATTAAAATAATAATAATACTAACAATAATTTTAATTACGCACCGTAACGACCATAACATAATGTTATCAGAAGGGGTTTTGAGGAGAGTTTAGAAAGTTCACTGATTGAAATCATGAGTCAGTTGAAGCTAGACCACCATGGAAAACTTGAAAGCACTGGACGGCTGTTTCTTTCTATTGTGGGACTCCTCAGTAGTGCGCATCCATGATCCCACCCCCCGCAAGAATCGAACCCAGGACCTATCACTTCTGAGGTGTCCCATTGAAATTACTATAACAACAATCCTCTGCAGGTTCTACAGTTCATATATCCAAATTAATAATCCGAAAAATGGCCAGGTTAAGGGCAAAGTATCTGAATTTAGGATTGTTAAACAAAATATTATAAAATTTTTAACGTTGATATTACTCAGATAGAATGTTAACTTAGATCTGCGTATATGTTAGGTGGAATTAAAGATTCATGGTCAGAATAGATATGGGTCAGATAGGGTGAGAGTAATAATAGTGCAATTACAATTCGGTCAAATGTTTAGTGGAAGGATATATTGTGCGAAAAATTAGTAAGACGTAATAAGGAGGGATAAATGTGAAGTGAAAGAATCATGTATAGGGGAGATTAGTAATGATGTTTAATCAATAATAATAATAATAATAATAATAATAATAATAATAATAATAATAAGAGTAATAATACGAATAATACAAAGATTTATGAATAAAGATAACAGGGACAATTACAATTGACCACGAAAGGTCGTAACCATTACCCTGGTCATTTTTCGGATTATTAATTTGGATATATAATTGTAGAACCTGCAGAGGATTGTTGTTATAGTAATTTCAATGGTTAAGATCATGAGTCAGTTGAAGCTAGACCACCATGGAAAACCTGGAAGCACTGGACGGCCATTTCGTCCCATTGTGGGACTTCTTGGCAGTGCGCGTCCACGACCTCGCCCCCTGAGAGATTCGAACCCAGGACCTACTGGTTTCGCACACGAGCACTTAACCACTAGCCCACTGAGCTGGCCGGTATCCGACGGTGTTAATGTCTAACTTCAACGAATCCACATCCACTATTGTCTTCAGTGAGTTCCTATCTCACAACAGACCTGGTTGAACTCCAATGGTCACTACTTCTCACTAGAACTGTTATGTTATTACGTTAAGCAGTAAGTCATTCCACTGTTCATTTATGTAACAAAACTTTCAGTAAATTATTCTTAATCATTTAACAAAAAATATTTTAAATTTCGAAAGTTTTCAGAGATGAAGTCATTGTTTTTCAAATTCCTAACTAAAATACAATGTATCACTAAGCTAAACAAAGTAATTTGATTGTGTTTTATTCTTTGAGATAAGTGTTACAATTGTAAAGATTTCATTTTTTTATTCTGGATTATCTCAATAATACATACTTCTTGTAGGTATGAGCTTTATAGTGATTTCACAATTGCTACTTCAATTCATTATATGATGGCTTTATTTATAATTGGTTGTCATGATAGGTACCTTTGAGTTCATTTGTTCTTAAATTCCTGTTGACCGTATCTTTCGGTTGATCTGATCATCTAATTGATTAGATACTTTATTCACCTACATGTGTATAAACACGGATTAGCAGTACAGTAAAATGGTATGTCACGACTGGTACCAAACATGAAGATACATTTGATTGATCAAATACTGAGAATACTAGTGAGTTTCGAGTAGTATGGTATTCAGACCACTTGATAATCAGTAATCACATTGACATACATTCAGTCTACCCACCTATACTGATTAGTTACATAATCAGATCAACTAAAAAAAGACAGTCACCAGGGATGCTAAAGTAAACGAATACAATCAAATCTACTAAGACAACCCGTCACAAACAAGGGGATAAGAACAAACCGTTATAACATTTATGGAATAACTGAAAAGCTCGCTTCTAGATGAAGCAGGCTCTGATGGTGAAAGCTTCTCAGTTAAACTGTCTAGCTCAGCGAATACAACATCACCAAGTGTATGCACCTAATTTGTAAACCTTTATTTCGAAGATGTTTCAAAAGAAAAAAATATTTAGTAATTGTCCCAGTAATGTTGACATTTCAACGTTTAAAAGTTATTAAGATTGTAGCTAGATTTTTAGTAAATAATTTACCTATAATTAGATCAAATTAATGAGTGTTATTCATTCAATAAACTGTATATTTATAGTGTGGTGTGTGCTACTTATATTCACATATGTAGTATATGATGTTAGTCGTGAACAGAATGTCTGGCAACAGAGAGACAAGAGGATCGGACAGTAAAGAATGGAAACAGAATGCAACTTGTATTAAAATGCAAGAACAATGAAGTCTGAGTCATTTTGAGACAATTGGTGGACATTTTGCAAATTAAGCATTTACTATTTGATTGTTAGATTTTATTAGCAATTCCTGTAATTGTGTCAAATACATTCGATTGACCCCACCCTTGTTCTGTTCACTACAATAGGTATTCAGATAGATTAGATAAAAAACAATTATGATCAATATTTAATGCAGTACCTTTACAATAAATTTCTTTTTCTTCCTTTTGAGTACACAACGTGGTTGAGTCAAGTGATTTCCCGCATACTTTACATCGGAAACAAGCTTTATGAAAGTTGAGCTAATTATAGAATTATAGCAAAAATAATGATAAATAAGTGATGTATAAGCAGTATTAAAATATTTTAAGTAATGAAAATAATTTTTCTGTAAGGATTTTATGAAGATTACTTTAAGTTCTAGGTGGTATTCGTAGGGGGTTAAACTGAGTTTGAATTTTACGGAAATCGATAAACACTTACCAGCTGTATTCTCTCAGTATGAGCCACCTCAGAATTAGTCTATTATTTCATATAGAATCGAAACCAGAACATTTGGGTCTTGATAAGAGCGCTTAACAATCAGAGCTGGTCTTGTGGTATCCAATGGTACACATTGCCAGCTGGAGTTACTTTGTTATGTACCCAAAGAATCCGTTAGTGTAATTAGTAATGACTGCTTCACCGCTAACATACTTGAACCAAGACAAATAAGTTGTCTAATGCATCTTGGTTCTAACTGGGACTATGTCTAAGATCCGAGCCTGATAAATACTACCTAGAAAATAAGTAACTGTTAGTTGGCACGGTAATTGCTCTATTGTTAAAATTAAACCGTTAGAGAGAAAAATTACGATTCGCTTGTTGCTGATACCATTGTAACAATTTTTCCAACAAATTGGGATAGCTGAGTTAAAAATATCAATGGTAGGAATAAATTTTTATACATTGAGATTTGATGCGTTTCATTTGATAATTTCAAGTTTCTGTACGAAATGCAATCATTTCAACTTGTATTCATCTTTGACTTACTCTATAGTAAGATATTTTCCAGCATAGTTTACGAGAAAATGTTATCTAAAACGCCACTGATTTGTACTTCATCTGTTTTCTAACAATTTCTGCTGGTTTATATTGGGGAGATAGGTACGACAAACTTATTTTGTAAATAGTTTTTGATACTATTTACATTTATTTTGTTATTTTGACAGTTTGTACATTTACTATAAAATGATTGTAAATGTTGTTTAAGTGCATGAAATTAAACTCACTCTCTTCCGTTTTAAATTACTCGTAGCATGACATACGCTGTTAACTGTTCGTAAATACATTACTACACACAGGTTTCTCGTTCTCCATTGCATGTGGTTATGATAAATGAACTCTGAAATATCTATCATCTACATTTACATATTTCCATTATATTCTACGTCTGGCTATATTACTGGAGTCATAACAACCTCATTAGAATTATTAATTATCTATAATTGTGGATTCTGTTACCATACGCAACTCGAATACTCACAAGCCTGCCGATTTAAGTAACATCCCTTAACTTTTATTTGTGTTTATAACTTATAATTGAGATATTATAACATTAACATTTGGACGTAATAACTTTATTGCCATTTTTGAGTTAATGTAATTTTTGGCCCACCACGATATGATCGCTTCTTTCACTAATTTGAGAAGTATAAGATAATCAAGAATTTCAACAATATGTCAAGTTTATTTGCTAACTTATACTTCAAAATAGTACCAGTAAATACAGAAAAATTAGTGAATGAAACAGTCTTTATCGTTAACTAATTACTGACTTTTAAATAAACCAATTACATTCTACTATCATAAAGTTTCAGGCTTAACTGTTTCAAGACTTGGAGATTCCGTAAGTTGTGACAGTCTCGTAAGACACAGAAATTGTAAATTGTTGATAAATGTTTCTAACTTTATAACGAATTCAAACAAATATAAAGTAAATTATTACAGCCTAAATGGATCATCGAAAGTAATAGTTATTTAATGGATGACCAACAAAACCAGTTTATACTATTTGACGTCTATGGCTCTAACATTTCATGCGAAACATATAATAGTAATTCATATCGTAGTGCCACTACCACTACTACTGTGAAACATAGCATTAGGCATGAAGAAGGTAAATTTATTGTGAGGAGTTATAAAGTATCTACATAATACATGTACATGGCTTTCAATCTTCCATTCGCATCATTTGGTGTGTTCTGCAGTATGACCCGTCTTCTTATCTGGTCTCCATGTGTTATGCCAACTCTATGCTTTCGATCAACTGAGACTCTTCACTTCGTCTGATAAATGTAACAACTTCGACGTCGCGTTCTGCTACACACTACTTACATACAACATTGTAAGTAACATCCACTACACTACTATTACTACTGAAATATTTGAATAAACTTACTCCACTTGGACATCCAATAGCTTTTTCGGCATCATATACTCGTTTACCACAACGTGGGCAACCACCTTCTTCCGGAGGTATAACTTTACCACCCATTGCGCCAGCTGTTGGTTTATTTCTAGGTTAACGGTTTTTGGAAAAAATAGTTAGATTTACAAAAACTTATTGAAATAGGATTTTTACAAAATCTGGACAATATATATAAACGTATGGCCATATACTATAGATAAATTATTGGATAAAGAATAAAATTTATTTTTATCTATCAGCTACCAGCAGTTGCTTTTTATGTAGTAATAAATCTATCTGAGATACAATGTTAGATCACTAATAAGTAAATATAAAGTGAATAGAGGAAGAATGTATTTGTAAAATCTCAACCAAAATATTTGAAGTAAGTTCAACGTTTCACCTGGCAATCTCGTCCGAGCTTTTTCAAATTCTTTGACTGAGATTATACAAATACATTCTTCCTCTTTAATGTCTTACATTAACTCGGTGCCCAAATACTGTGAAACTATTCAATCAAATTTAGATGAAAGTTCTAATTTATTATAAAGTGATTAGGCTGTTTAAGATTAATGATATCTAACTGCTTAATTATATTTTATAGATACATAGAAATAAATAGGGTGTTATAAATCAAACTTAAATTTGAAGTAACAACTTTTTACTTTGAAAATCACGTAACTCTTAACAGGTAAACTGTATGAGTGAGTAAACGAATAGGTATTTTATTAAACTGAGATTAACTTTTTAGTCATAAAAGGGCTTCAAAGAAGTAGGTGAATCAGTTGTTATATGTCATCATCATCATGAAAGTTTCCAAATTAAAGTCAGAACATCTGAGTTTAGTGATGGTAATGTTATTCTTAAGCTAATGAATGATATTTAGATAGTTGAACTTCATCGTTTTTAGCTACCAGTGCTCTCTTAATCTATTACACACACACACACACATACTCTTGAGATTTATGACTAAATTTGACTGATCGTTTGAAGATTTCACATATCATGTAATCTCTTTGCTATTTTATCAAGTATATTTTCCTTTTGTAAAAAGATAAACTCAACTTATCTCCTGATATCAACACATTTCTGAAAATATTTCTAATATCTTTGTTTCAGTGATTAGTTAACTCAGTAAAGATCAACTGAAGAACATATTTTGTGTCTGCTTGATAACTGAAGTTAAAATTGTTAGTTTAATGAATAAAGGATAAGCTCAAAATTTTGGAAAATTTCCAATAACAAATATCAATTCAAATTCACTTGATGTTGTTTTACTTGTATCTTCCCATTGTTATTTAGGACTGAAATTAATCAGTCTCTTGTTGGCATATGTGCGGATTGACTCGATTTTGCCTTAATCACAAGCTTTTTAAGCAAAGATAGGACGAAATGCGCGTCCTGGATTCCACTGTTAGCCACTATCCATCTTTGCTTAAATATCAATTCAGCTTATCGGCGAAAATGAAATTGAATATGAAGACCGACAAATGTATCATCCTAACATACATAAAGGACATATCAAAAACCACAACAAGATTGTGCATATAAATAAGCAAAATGACCAATTAGTCTTATGCAAATTGAAGGATAAAATAACAGAAGAATAAAAACAGGACATTATTTTCAAAATAAACAGTTTTAACTGAGAGAAACACTAGGTCGGACAAAGTGGACGCCTTTGTTATCTTGATCTTCATGAATGGGAACCAGCTATCAAACATCATGTTGCACCTTCGTTTATATCAGTGCTCGTGAACAATTATAGGCTGGAAAACATTTTGGGGTTTTGGATATAGAGAATACTAAGAATACCAGAGAATTGTTATAAGCTTGGAACTCAGGTCATTCATCAATCAACAAGCACATGGCAATTGATTAAATTTATCAACAAACCAGAAGAATTATGGACGAATATGGGATCAAAAATCGATTCGAGGGAATAGACAATCAAAATAAATATTCAGAAAACGTCAGTTTAAATGTCAATAGTAAGCAGTCAAGATCAAGGTCGACAGGATAAGCTGTTAGTCATATGTCAAGAAATCCGAATAACACATTTTTACCTAGATTTTGTGTTGATGATGATGTTCAGAAAAATAATGAATGCTTCATGATTAAACCATCCAGCTTAGAAAAAGAAGTTCCACCAAAATCATTCACCTAAGCTACAAATCGTATCCACCATCTCAGCTTAGACTATGTTTTGTTACAGACGTTGGTACGGTTTACATATAACTCTTTTCAACCTCTGGATGAACTACATACATAAGTCAAGACTTTCTTTATCCTGGAGCTTGTATACAATCAAGCGTACATAGTTTAAATATGAGGTCGTATTGATGAATTGTCTGATTTTTATTAGGACAGATAAGTAATATAATTTAAAAATGATTATCCCGTCATTAAATGTATTGTATACAGCTCATCCCATCTCTTATAAAAACTTACGACATTTCTGTTTCTTTATTACCAACATGAGTTCCGGTATCCATATTCAGTGCTCCAGAACCTCCACCGAATCCATAACCTTTAGGACCAAATTTACGACCATGGCAAGTTTTACAAAATACTTCTCCTTCATGTTCAGCCACTGTAGTACTGTCTAACATTTTATTGCACAAACCTTTAAAAATAAGATGTATATTTATGTAAACAGGGTCTGATATTCGACAAGAAAATAAAAGTAAATAGTTTTATAAACCTTTTGTGGATTTCATTAATGTTAAGCCTATAGCTTTTAAAATATATTTTTTGATACTCACTTTACCATTAGATAAAGTTTTAATTGAGCCGTTGTTTGTATTCAGGATTGAATTTTAGTCAGTTATATTCGGCATATATGCATCTTCGGCTGATTGCTTTGTTACAATCATTTTGTCGCAAGATGTTGGAATAGATGGATCATGACTAGTAATGGAACCCAGGATGTTCGTTTTGTCCTGTTTTGGATTAGTCATTTAAATCTACTCAAATTGTAGAATTGATGTTCGCGCTGAGATTCGAGATGCATACCTTTCACTTAAGACGATAACGATTGAATCATTGAATCTCAGTGTGAAAATCAACACTGAGATACTGGTATCTCCACCTAACGAGTCCCAAATAGAACGAAACGCAAGTACTAGGTTCAGATGCTAGTCACCATTTATTTATTCTAAAAATATTCTATTCGATTATGAGGAATGAAAAAAATAACACCAACTTTCAGAGCGGATTTAATATTAATCAGGTTATTGCTCTGTAAATGAAACCAACTGGATGAATATTTATTCTGTGTTGTTTTAAATCAAATCAGTTATTGACTCAGCGGTTTAGAGGTTAAGCATTCACGTGCGAGACCAAAGGTCATGGGTCCGTGTCCCGCACGCAGGATCGTGTATGCGCACTGCCGAGAAGTCCCATACTAGGACGAGACGGTCGTCCAGTGCTTCCGGATTTTTAATAGTGGTCTGACATTCACCCATCCATGATATCAATTAAAACTCAACATACTCTACAACAATATAGTGACAATTTTATATTACAAATAATTATCAATCTAAAATCTGTTTAGAATATTAGAATAAATCAAATAACATCCGTTTCATTGTTGAATACAGATATATTAGAGTCGAAATACTTAAATCTCCATAATGTTCATATTAAATTATAACTTGTAGTATCACAATTAAAGACTGATTCACAGATTTAAAAGTAATGACTTTTTGTCATGTCCTAAAATTTCCAAGTATTCTCCAAACATAGATTAGTAATATGTCTTTATGAAAAGTATTTAAGTTTGAAAGGGTATAAACGATATATAAACCGACTTTGCAATCAATTAAAATATATACTATGGGTCTATTAAGAATAATTCTAGTATTTGGTTCACCGACTTAAAATTATAAAGGTAGGAAGATAAATTTCTACTGAACATTGTATGTAATGATTGGAAGCTGAAAATTTGTATAAAATACTATCCAAAGATAGGATAGATTATTATACTGAGAATGTACACACAAACCTTCCTGTCTATTTTCAAAAGGAATATCGTATTTACCTTACTATGATACTAGAAATATATGTCTCCCAAGAGTTGAACTGTGATCATTGATAAGATTTATTTCAAAGAAGATTTATTTATTTAATTATTTGAACACATAAACATTGGTACTAGTGGGCACTAAATACATATGCGCCACACAATAAAAATAAGGCCAGTAGTAGTTATCATTGATTTATGTGAGGGCTGTGATACTGCCCGGGCACCCAGACCGGAGGAAATGGTTTTCTTAGGGGGGCCATATCTGGAGTCTTCGACTTAAAGGTCGGATACACAACGCAGTGGAGCAACGTAAAGACATACAGTCCCATGGTATCCGATGGTCAACAATTGGTTCATACGCCATTTATTTCCTTAGGATCCTGGAGTCCATGTACATCATTAGTTTAGAATCAGGGCTTATCAACTCCGGTTAAAGCACAGGAAAATCTATCTAATGCATGTAGTCAAAGCAGTTTGATGAAAACATTTTACATGACAGTTTAAAACTTGAAGCATGTTAATTGTGTAAAAATAAGAAATGTTGTGTTTGTATGAATGCATCATTAGTCGTATCAGTTAATGTCAAGCCTCAGTAAGTGACTACAGTAAAAATAGCTAACCAAAAACTAACTTTAGTAAAACAAAACATATATATATATATATATATATATATATATATATATATATATAAACACAAGAATGAGAATTATGAGTTGTTTAAACCATTGGAGACAAGTTTTATAGGTTAATTACAGAAAGATAACAGTGTATTCATCTAATTGTTAAAACATTCTATTGAAGTAAGTTCATTAGTATTAATTACTGTAGAATGCTGAAATGAGAAGCCTTATGTAACCAGTTTACTTAACGTTAAACAAGTGGTCACACATTCCATTCATAAATTGATTAATTTACTTGGTGACTTGATTAAAAAACAATGTCCTGTTAGCTGTTGTTCTAACAGCCCAGATATCATTAATAAATCTTTGGTTTAATTTTATTTATCTCTAAGTCTTATCTTTCTGTAAGTACTTTTAATCAGGGTTAGAATGACCAACATTTAATATGCACATAGTACTGAATCTTGAATACTGTTTCTCATAAGCTTTTAACAAGCTGATTATTAAGAAGTGTTTGTTTTAATGTTAACTGATAATAATAGTTGGCATTACCAGTCATATTCTTAATGCCCAAAAATGTCTTGAAAATTGTATTTTTCGCGTGCTTACCAGTTACCAATCTAATCTATAATAATCTATATGAGAAGGAATTGTTTACTCAGAAAAGATATTGTTTCTGAAGATGCTTTGTTGTGTGAGCTGGTTCGGTTAATCATGAAGCTTTCTTTTTCTTTGTCCATGTGCACTATTATTAGAGAAACCATGCCATGGTCATGGCATAGCAATGACCACACACTTGTGGACAACAACCAAGCTTTATGTCAACAGAACAAGTTGCCGTTTAATTTAGGAGAAATTTAAATTAATCCCTTTTTATTGAATTGTGTACTGTCATGGAACACTATAAAAGCTTCAAAACTAAATCATCCAGCTCAGAGAATAAAACGCCACGAAAATCCTCATTCTCATTCTAACTTTATTATTAATTAAGATTGTCTGGAGAAACAAAGAAAATTCATTTCATCACATGGATATTTAGTATGGGTTAGAAAACATTTTACTTGCACAGAAACTACATAGTTTTATAGAATTAACTGCCTTCATGAATAGTTCACTCATTTAGATTATTTTTTGAAGCCTTTTAATTAGTAATTCTGAACCTTAACCTAAGGCTGATTGTTTATCAGTTATTTAGTAAAATATGATAACAGAAGTCAGCAAGTTATCTGCTGACTATAGAGCACGAAAAGAAACTCTTATCCATCAGATTTTACGCTGATTTGATGTTAGAAACTACTTCAGACATTATAAACTCAAATATATCTTAAAATATGATATTTAATGAAAAAAAACAGTATTCCTTATAGTAATAAAGATGTTTTAAACAATATACTATACTCTGTAAATGGTTATAACCTAGATTCATTTCGCCTACTGGAATAAAGACATGAATTTACATTGTACAGGAATATATATTCACTACTTTTTAAAGTAATATACATCAATTAGATCTCAATTTCGTACAACTTTTCCCATTTATAAACTTAAATAAAGGAAGAACAAATATTATGGGAGTATTTGTTACATGTGTGTGATGTATGCTACTTATGTTGACAGATATAAGTAGTATGTAACACTAATCAGAGGTGGAATCCCTGACAAAAGACTTTTGACAGGATTGATCTGAAGAAAACATAAAGGAATTGGGAATTGGAAGAGTCATAAAGGATGTAAAGGACAATTGAAGGAAGATTCGCAAGTAAAGCATTTAATGTACGGTTTTCATATTTTAAGAAAGAACTTTGTCATTTAGTATGATACAAAAATTGTTCGTTCATTACACATGCATCTCATTTATTTTGTAAAACTTTCAAATCTTATGGCTATTATAGTGATATTTTGATTTCATTAACTCATAGTTAAAGTATACAACGTATACTTGACAACCACTTTTTTGTTAAGCAAAAGTGGTGGACTACTCTAGCATCAAATACAGAGATTTCACGGAATAAGTTTTTGGTCAATAGACTAATCGAAGGTGGAGTATAACTCTCGACTTCACCTTCAGATTCATTTACAAGGTGTACTTGGTCATTAGCGCAAATGAGTAGAAATTGCTGATAGAAGACTATTGAAATTCTTTTGAAATCTTACTGGAATTTTATCGCTTGACCGTAATTCATACAAGTAAAATCACTATTTATTTAATACACTTAGAACATGGTATGGCTGTCTTTATGTTTTCAAGTAACAAACGACTGATAAGTTTACTGTCACATAGTTCTAGTTAATAGACGAACACTGTTTCTCCCATATTCACAAATATACTCGGTATTAGACTGTAAAAATATATTGGGATTTGGTTAATATTATATGAATAGCTTCTATTGCTACATGTTAGAAAGACTGACACTTAATTTCAATACACCTTAACTAATCAGGCTGTCTTTCCAAGTATACATGATTAGGATGAGTGTTCGGTCGTAACTTCTCTCCGTATCCCCCATCTATGATGAAACTTTATCAGTTAGTAGTGTCCTGAACAATCTACATACAAATGTTTCTATTTTTTAGCTAATAGTATTAATTCAATACTTCAGAAAGATAATTTCAATGGGCGGAAAATTGATTCTAGTTTCATAGATTCATATTTGTTATCGAAAAGTTCAGAATGATTAGATACTCAGCTATATCTCAAGTAGATTCATTCGAAATATAATAACACTACTCTGAAGACTACTATGATATATTTCTTTAAAACAAAGTTGTTATTGCTAATTAACTATCTTTTCATAAAACCCCAAAGTACCTTTATGTGAAAAGGTAAATGTATTAATGAGTACATCACATGAGGTTGACCTTTAGTTACTGAAAAAGTCGGTTAGTTTAAATCAAAAGTGTTTAATTCTTTTCAACACAACTTGAAATTCTAAACTCTTTCTTAAATCAGTCAATTTACTGTCTAGAATGATCAACTCTACAGAATAGTCAAAAATGAAGAATATTTGAGAGAACAATTGTTTTCAATAACTTCATCATCAGGCTCTACAGTTATAAGTCCATAATGATTGTGATATTTTACAAAGGCCAAAAATAAGGCATGTATTAATGAATTTGACAATGTTATGTGTTAAAAAAATTGGTGAACGTTTGCATCTGTTACGATATATATATACTTCAAAATTATATTATTTGCAAATTAGGAAGTTCATTCAATAAAGGTCAGGATGATTTAGAGTAAAGTGTTCAGTCACAATAAGTAGAATTGTATTATAGCAACAATGAAAATGCAAAAACTTGTGTGAATAAAATGCATAGTAGGAGACTTTTATCGTGTCAATTGAGATAATAATAATAATAATAATAATAATAATAATAAGATTGTTGTGTGAATATAATATGTCATAAAGAGGGTGGTATCAAGGTAATTACGGTAAACAAATTGGGAATGCCTTACTTTTGGCCTTTGTAAAATATCACAATCATTATGAACTTATAACTGTAGAGCCTGATGATTAAGTTATTGAAAACAATTGTTCGCTCAGTTATTTTTCATTTTTTGAATATTCTATGGGGATGTTTAAACTGTTGAAATCTACAGAATAGTTCAAAACTTTAAACAAAACGAAAAAACTCAAAAACACTAGTTATTCTACTATTTAATAAGTTAGTAGTTTAATGAAATGATATAAATTATAAAGTATTAAAATCGATTTGAATGTTATTTTTAAAAAAAAAGAAAAAATAACTTACCACATTTTAAACACATACTATGCCATGCTTTACCACCGGCTATTTTTCTTTCTGCAGCATAAACAGCTTTTTGACATTTTGGACAAATTTCAGAAGGCATAATGAATCAATAAGAATCTATATTGAGTAATATATATATAATTGTAAGATTTAATGGATAATTGTTATATTCAAATAGTAACAAACAGTTTATAATAATTAAAAAGAAAAGAAATGGATTAATTAACTCCAAATCACTATTCACAATGTTCTTGTAGTTTATATAGTTAGTTAATTAATAATAATGTGTAAATCTATTTTTCTCTATGGTAACAAAATTATATAATGATTATACTTTATGTATTCTATATAATTCTTATTATGATTTTTAAAATGTTTGTTAACAATTGTGCATATCTATTTCAATATATTGAAAAGAGGGAACATAGGTAAGGCTTAGTGACTATATAGGGGGTATGGTGTGTGTTTGTGTATGGAGAGACTGAACAGTTAGATTTCTTTCTATTTTATTCTCTTTTTTTTTACCTTTACAATATTTGGATAGTTTAAGAAATGTTTTTGATTGGTATACAATGAATCAATAATACAACAAAGATTCCATAAAAATTATTGTATCGTGTAATAAAGGTTTAATTTGGAAACATTTGTGCCCCATCTGTCTGTCTAACTAAATCAATAAAAATTGTGGAATTTTTTCCGTTAAAAAATTGGAATTACATAAAGAAATTTTATGGTAAATTTGTCCAACATTTGGGGAAATTGCTACTAAAGTCTGAATGTTTTTGTATCTTTGTTAGATTTCTTTATTTTCATTACGTGATTGTAGAGATTGTTGAGTTTAGATTGACACCATCACTGGATCAATACTGGACCATCATGGAAAATCTGGAAGCACTAGAAGACCGTTTCATCTCAGTATGAGATTCCTCGACAGTTGGCATCGACGATACCGCACATGGGACTCGAACCTATGACCTTTGGCTTCGCATATGAACACTTAACCTCTAGACCACTGGGCCGGTTCAGTGATCTAGATTTCATTTTTCCAATGCATTTTGCATGGCTGTTGTATATAGTTTTGAGGTTCAAAATTATGCTGTAGTTACAAATAGAATGTTATTTAAACGAACAGGCACATTCTATTTGCTTTCAAACCGAATATATTACATTAAAAATAAACGTTTCAATACTATATGTCCAAAATACTAATATATATCAAATGGTGTTGTTATTGCATTTCCTTAGCTAATTACTAAAATGGATTTTAAGTTAAATGGATACGAGAATGAACAAAAATGATAGATAGATTTTTTCAGAAAGAATTTAATAAGATTTTCATCTTTTTTGGCATTCCACCAAACAAGATCACAAGCACCCAAACAGTCTTGTTAGAATCATGATAAATCTTTCTCTAATTAGCCTTAGGATAATTTCATCACGTATCATTAATTTGAAACAGGATAGTGTGTCGACGTAGGTGGTAAGTGGATATGTTCATCGTACATAAATAGAAGCTTTCTGTTCTGAACATTCCTCCTAATTTCACTCAGAACAATATATCTAGGCTTAACATAGTTCATACTGTAATTCCTTAACTGATGTATGCTGAATTTAAAAGAACTGTACAGATTAGTTTTGTTACGTAACCTTAGTAAATTTCACTGATACTTCATTATGTTGGTCTGATAAAAAAATCTCGTTATTTTATATGGTAGCCTAATCTTAGATTTAATATTTTAAGAAAACAAGTTCTATTTGGCTGCTGTTTTAACGTAAAAATAAAAAAATAATATTTTTAATAAGTTACTATTAGATCTTATTTCTACTTATGTGTTCAGTTTGTGGCATATGCTACTTATGTCGATAAATATTAGTAGTACGCAGCACCAGTAGGATTGGAATGTCTTGTATTAGAAGATTGGGAAGATCGGATTGAAGAGAGCAGAAATGTGACTCAACTTATGTTGGGCAATCTATACTCAGTCTGTTTATATTTGGTACTGATCCAACCAAAGAAAAGTGACTAGTGACCTAAGCCAAGTGAATAATCGAATTACAACAATCGCCTGCGTCGATTATACTTTTCACCTATTAGCGTCCTTGAGAAATTTAATCTAACTGAATTTCAAAATATGTAACAAAGGAAGAGTTATCTTATATATCAACTTTTCAATGTCTGTAAATAGAAATGAGTTATTAAGATTTCGCCACAAATGACTAACAGCTTACTTAAAAATAAATAAATTGAAATGAATTATTCACGATTAAATCACCGAGCTCACATAACGTTGTCGAATTGCAGAGATCATTTAATTTATGCGAGGAAAAACAAAAAGGGAAAATTTGTCATCATTGAAAATATTTATTAGGTTTCATTAAACTAATATTTAGTTGCTCTTCTAGAAATACTAACGATCCCAACCCCGAGTAAAAGAGGAGTGTTAAGCACAGAGTCGGCAACCCCGTCCGATAGATAAAATTCTTGCTAAAATACGCCAACCAGACTGAACAAATTACACCATTTAAACACTGCCCCCAAGTTCAAAGAAGAATTATGACGCCTCAGGATGGAAGTCGAGATTCTTCACACGTCACAACGTCGATGCCAATTCTAACAAACAGAGCAACAACTTTCGTAGGTATATGGAATGTTCGCACAATGTGGGGGCCTGGGAGGACTAGTCAAATAGCAACAGAAATATGGAGTAACAACTTTAAAGTCCTAGGAATAAGTGAAACCCACTGGACCTAAGCTGGATGTTAAAGGCTAGATACGAGAGAGATGCTTCTGTACTCCGGTCACGAAGAGGAAAATACCCCACACACTCAGGGACTTGCTCTGATGCTGTCCAAAGAAGCACGTAATCCACCTATAGGATGAGGATCTCATGGATCCAGGATCATCAAAGCATCACTCAAAACAAAGAAGAAGTGAATCACGGTGAATGTTAACCAATGTTGTGCACCCACCAATGATAGGAATGACAACGATAAAGTTCAATTTTACGAGACACTGTAATCGTTCATGAAGAAGTTCTCAGGAAATGTCCTGACCATCATGATGGGAGATCTAGACGCCAAATTCGGAATGGAAAACACTGGATGTGAAGATATCACAAAACAACATGGACTGACTGAGAGGAAGAAATGAAAATGGGGAGAGATCTTCAAATTTATATCCATTCAACAAGATGGTTATAGGTGGCACATTTTCCCCCACAAACACACACAAAGTTATATGGGTCTCAACGGATCACATTACGGATAATCAGATCGATCATATTTACATCAGTAAAATATTCACGAGACCAATGTATGATGTGAGAACCAGGAGACAAGCTGACATGGCTTCAGATCACCACCTAGTTGTGGACAATTTAAAATTGAAGCTAAAGAAGAACTGAAGAACTGGACAAACAGCATTACAATGTTTCAATACAGCCCCCCTTCGAGATACTGACAAACTCAACGAATTCAAGATAACTCTCAACAAGAGTTTACAGCTTTATAGGATCAATTCTCAGAAGAAACTGCTATAAGTGAAAGAGGATTAAAGAAGCACTAATTTCAACGTGTCAGAAGGTTCTAGGTTGCAAGAAGCATCATCATAGGGAACGGATCTCTATGGAAACCCTGGAGAATATTCAAGAAAGGAAGAACATTGAGACAGTAATTAACAACAACCGAACAAGAGCAAAGGAAATCTAGGCACAAGCCGAATACACCGAGTCAAGCAATCAAGTCAAGAGGAGCATTAGAAACGACAATCAGAAATAAGTGGAAGAGCTAGTAACGATAGCTGAAAAAGCTGCAAGAGAAGGAAGTATGAAACAACTATATGACACAACGAAGAAACTGACAAGCAAATATAGTAAACCACAAAGTCTGGTCAAGGACAAGAAAGGCAAGACAATCACCGAGATTCAGGAACAGAGGAACAGATGGATGGGATATCTTGAGGAACTCCTGAATAGATGAGATCCACTGAATCCACCAGACATCGTAACAGCGCCTACAGACTTTTCAATAGATGTCACCCCCACCAACGATCGAAGAAATCAGGATGACCATCAGATATATATATATATATATATACATATATCCACTTAGTGTGGGATATTTCTCTATATATATACATATTATGCTAGAAATTGGAAATACAGTGGTAGTGTGTTAAGTAGTTCTACTCACAAGCGTCAAATATCAACGAGCATTTTGATAAAGTTAAGAGTCACTTACTTGAACTCTTTAGCGCACTAAGGAAACTTTATTTCGTCTGACTACTAAACCTTAGGCAGAGTACTATAATATTTCTATCACGTAAAAATTGTTTTTGTATGTACCCAACTGTTTAATTATAATTTTAATACAATGAAACCATTTGTATATACAATCTTATTCCTTACTTGTGTTATTACGATTGTAACTAAAAGAGTATGTATTAGTTAACCCTAGGAATTACTAGTTCATATATTACATACAATAATGCTACTAATTTGAAATATCCTAATTACATTTACATAGATATGGGTCAAGTAGGGTGAGAGAGAAATAATAGTGCAATTACAATTCGATCAAATAAGTGAGACGTAATACCCTATTTGACCCATATTTATTCCGATCATGGATCTTAAATCTCACTTAACATATACGCAGATTCAAGTTAACATTCTATATGAGTCATATCAACATTAACAATTTTTGATTGAGATCATGAACTGATTGATGTTAGCCTGGACGGCCGTCCAGTGCTTCCAGGTTTTCAATGGTGGTCTAACATCAATTGGTTCATGATCTCAATCAAAATCTAAACAATCTCCACAACCCCTAAACTGATAATTAATAATTTTATTGTATTTTGTTTATCACAATCCTAAATTCACATGCTTTAAACGATTTACTTTGCCTTTAATCTGACCATTTTTCGAATTATTAATTTGGATATATGAATTGTAGAACCTGAATAGAATTGATCGAAAAGAATATTCTTCGTTCAAATATTAGTCTTTTAATATGACGGGGATCTTTAAACGATTATATAACCTTTATTATATAACTGTCATTGAATTATACTACTCCATATTGAGAAGAAAGTTCTTTCAATGATTTGAAAGTTATCAGTATCTATCATAACATTAATCAGTATTGTTATCAATAAACCAACAACAACAAAAAACGTTCAACTAAGTTCTTGTTTGGGTTTCGAATGAAGATAACTTACAAAATCTTCTCATTTAATCATATGATAATAAACATTAGCTATTTATAAAGATTAATTGTTCATCAGCTATAGTAAAAGTGTTAATGTCACATAGAATAAAATTTGTTTTTGTTGTTTTTTTTTGGAACTTAATATTTACTACTTTCATCTTTCACTTTCACCATGTGGTCAAGTTTGTTGTTATTTATTCTTAATCTTAATAAAATAGGAAATTCAAATTAAATAACACTTCAATTCATATTGTATAAAATTATTTTGTTTATACATGAAATGTACTTTCATTCTATGAACTTCCTTGTATAGTAATTTTTTTTTGTTAAAAATTTATTTTCCATCATTATAGTACACAATTAATGGTGAAATGATAGTGCCTAGTGGTGACCTTGAGGATGGTCAATCAGAAAAGTATTAGATAAATTTATATTTACTATAACATTTATTATTAATTGAACTATAAACAGTTACAGATAATTTTAAAGTTAACCCATATAAATACAATAAAACGATGTATTTCCATTGTAAAAACTCGTGGATTGGTTAAAGTTAAACATTAACACTGTTGGATGCCTGCTAATTGGTATAATGAGTTGGAATCTCTCCAGGCGGGATCGTGGATACTCACTGCTGAGGAGTCCCATACTAGGACGAAATGGCCGTCCAATGCTTCCAGGTTCTCCATGGTGGTCTAGCTTCAATTGGCTAGCGATTTCAACTATTGAAATTATTTTTTTGGTTTACTTGATAATACTCAATGGAATAAATATTTGATGAATATTTAATTTCAGTAGTTGAGGTCATGAGTTAATTGAAGCTAGACTACCATAGAAAACCTAGAAGCACTGGATGGCCGTTTCGTTCTAGTATGGGACTGCTCAGCGGTGTGCATCCACGATCTCGTCAAACTTAAATGACTCATGATCTCAACTAATGAAATTACTACAATCTCCACAAAACTCACTTCTGTTATGAATATTTAATTAAACTACCAAATTCTGAAATCATTCATAAAAGATCTGAAAACACAAATCTTGTAATTGTTGAAAGTTAATCTAGAATTGAATAGGTGATCCATGATTCTTTATTCTTTTAGAAAGAATAATTTTGTTAACATGATACAAAAAATATGAGTCATTTTTAAATGTGACGATTTTAATCTACATCAAATCACTGGCTCAGAATTTAATTCTGATAAAGTTATATGTAAATAATTTTGGTGCAAATCATTCATAAGTGTAGTATTAGACATTGGAATCAGTGAACATTTGTTCATTATTGATTAAGTGTTAGGTAGTCGGAAAAATAGACCAATAATTATCATGTTAAGTCCAATGGTGTCCTTGGACTTTAAATGTACACTCCCTATTGGTCAATATCTGTTCACTAGTTGAATATTGTACAAAATGTTGTTTTCTATTTTATGGTACGATGTGGTTTGTTTGGTTAGTATATAAATAGAGTATGTCTGAAATACAATGATTCATAACTCAGAGGCTGTGACTTGTGTTCTTGACTCAACTGGTTAAGATAGACAGCGAAACAGGGCCAATCAGGGCACTAGGTCGTCCTTACGTGTTTACGTGTCACTGTAATCGATCGATCAATAAAACGCTTATCAAAAACCTGCAGTTACACCCGTTACAACACTAAGATATAGAATTTGAATAATAAAGCTGAAAAGACTATGATAGAATGCACTTAAATAAAGTTTACTTTTACATTTCATTATCAAACATGGATATTCTGTTAGTTTTTTTAAAATTACAGTATAGAAAAGGTGAGTTAAAGTACATGATCCACGTACAGTGATGATAATTATAAATAGTTTATTTAGCATTCTGTATTAATTAAAATTTACACATAAAATAATCAGAATTTGTCGTTAGATCAATGACTTCACAATATGTTACAAGTTATTTTTTCAATAAATAAATGCCATTTAAATGACTACGTGAGTTGAAATTCCATACAAGTTTGTACTTCACTGATCAATTCATGTAATCTTAAACTTCATTCACCATTATTTTAGGGTTCCATTGTATATTACTTTTATGACGGTTGGTTTTCCACATTTACACGTATGGGACGTTAATTTACCTTAAATGAAATATCTACATTAGATTCTCTCCCACTGTCTATTCTACAGGACTTCAACACAACTCTAATCACGAACACGTGATTAGCCTGACTACAAAGTAAGTATATTTCCACACCAAAAAACTCAGCAACAATGAACAATCAACAATAATAATTATAAGGATAGGGGAATATATAACTCATCTGACACCTTTCAGATTATTTACATGTCCAACTAAGCAAACAATCAATCTTTATCATTCTCGCCCACATATTAATTATTTTCTACTAATTTGCAGTAGATCTTATGATTTCAATCGCTCAAATAGCTTTCAAACTGTGATGAGTAATGAAGATTCTTTTTTATGGACCCAATTGAATAGATGTCTATTTGTCAAATTTGCCATATTCTTTTTATCTTTTACTCTTATGTTTCTATTTATTCTTTCTTCTCGATTTTTTTGTCTTCTTCTAGTCACTTGTTTATTTTAGTTAATTTGTTTGTTATTATAAAGGTACATAATTAGTCACTGCCCCCTACCACATTCAATGAAGATATGTGGAAATTTTTCAGATAACTTTGTTCTTATCTGTTTACTTAAAGACATTTCGATCCTACATTCATGTGATTAATGCTGGAATACATCAAGTTTTGGAGTTAGTAAATATGAAATCTAATTTCATCTGTTTATTAAAACTATGCTTTAACAGTAATCCTACCTCCGAAATTCTTATGTACAACTTGATGATTGAATTAGATTTTTACATAAAATCTATAAACAGTTTGTAGGCAATTGTAGTGAAATTCAGTAATTTATTTAATCAATCATTAGTATTCAAGTAATAGGGAATGTTCTAAGTAGATGTTACTCTTTTGAAGATAATTGGGTAGGACTTATTAATTGGATAAGCAAGATCTTAAAATATCCGTTTACAGATGAACGATGCACAAAAAATATGTATGATAGGCATGATGTATATAGTGATAGCTTCACTACTATCCATACAGCTTTATTATTAGACAAGCTGGAAAACTGTACAAACCCTTAACTGTTTTTTGGAAGGTTACAGATTACATATACAGCCATCAAAATAAGACGGGTGTATTGAAAGAAACAACTTTAAAGGACAAGTGACTCCTCTCTATTCGGTCATTGACACTAAAGTACATTCATTATGACTTGTGGAGAATTTAGACCTGAAATTTCCCCTTTTCTTTCTAACTGGTCAAATGACACACAATAAGAACCCAAGAAGCAATTGTTGGGGTTGTTGTTATGCAATATTGATTTCCTCATCAATAAATCAGCTGTTTAAAACTTACTACCGAAGGAGCAATTTCCATCAGATTGACCAATCTGTCCAAGGAAAGGGTTGAAATGTAATAGAATAAATATTTTTAGTTTTAAAATTTAACTACTGTAAGTAGTGTGAGTTTTCTGTATAATTTTTTGTAAAGAACTAATAGGCGTCGGTGAAGCATTTGAACACAACCTTCATGTTGAAATCCTTGGGAACCAATATTATTTAGTCTAACAAATACGTGTAAGTTTAGAAAGAACATTTTGGTCCATTTTTGAATTATGTTCATGAATATGACGTATAGCTATTTGTTTTCAGTTTTGCTTATTGAAAACCGTTCATTTTAATCGGATGTAAACACAGAAAAGTCCCCCTCTAACTAATGAAAACAAAAAGGGAGTTATATCTTGTTTGTAGCATATCATCACACTGTTCTACTGATAAACAATTCGAGGCCTATATATTAACATCAATGTAACCAATTTATCACTTACAGGTTTACTTGGGCGCTTTTAAGTCAAACGGTCATCTGAAACGTAAAGATGTAGTTATTGGACCAGGTTTAAGACCTGAAATTGAGAAACAAGTGATTTAGCCGATAATTACATAGTTTTTACGTGATAGGCTGGATATTCCAGTTATTTTTTATTCACCTTTTTGGTCGAGTTTTCGTATATTCTTGAATATTATTCATTCGGGAATAATGAAACAGAATTCGTTTCATTATGAGTCCATTACTTACTTACGCCTGTTATTCGCCGTGAAGGAGCATAGGTCGCTCACCAGCATTCTCCATCCAACCCTATCCTGGGCAATCCTTTTGAGCTCCTTCCAGTTGTTATTCATCGTTTTCATATCTGCTTCTATTATCCGACGCAATGTGTTCTTTGGCCTTCCTCTTTTTCGCTTCCCTTCAGGATTCCAAGTTAGGGCTTGCCTCGTGATGCAGTTTGACGATTTGCGTAATGTATGTCCTATCCATTTCCATCGTCTTTTCCTAATTTTTTCTTTAGCTGGAAGTTGGTTTGTTCTCTTCCACAGAAGGCTGTTGCTGATGGCATCCGGCCAATGGATGTTGAGTATCTTGTGTTGACAGCTATTTATAAATACTTGTACTTTCTTGATTGTGGTTGTTGTAGTTCTCCAAGTTTCAGCTCCATACAGTAGAACTGCCTTGACGTTCGTATTGAAGATTCTCACTTTGATATTGGTTGAAAGTTGTTTTGAGTTCCATATGTTCTTCAATTGAGGGAATGCGACCCTTGCTTTGCCAATCCTCACCTTTATGTCTGCATCTGAATCTCATTGTCCATCGACGATGCTTCCTAGGTATGTGAAGGACTCTACGTCTTCCAGAGTTTCGCCATCAAGAGTGACTGGATTGCTGTTTTCCGCTTTGAATTTGAGGACCTTGGTTTTCCCTTTGTGTATATTGAGGCCTACTGATGCAGAGACTGCTGCTACACTGGCTGTCTTTATCTGCATCTGTTCGTGATAGGAGGGCTAGGTCATCTGCGAAGTCCAAATAGCCTAATTGATTCTGAGCTGTCTATTGTATTGTCCAGTTCTTCTTTAGCTTCAGTTTTAAATTGGCCACAACTAGGTGGTGATCTGAAGCTATGTCAGCTCCTCTCCTGGTTCTTACATCTTCATTTGTTCTTCGGAACTTTTTATTAATGCAAATATGATCTATCTGGTTCTCTGTAGTGTGGTCCGGTGAGATCTATGTAGCCTTGTGTATACGTTTGTGTGGAAATATTGTGCCTCCTATGACCGATTTGCTGAATGCACACAGATTTGCAAATCTTTCCCCATTTTCGTTTCTCTCTCCCAGTCAATCCATGTCGTCCCATGGTATCTTCATATCCGGTGTTGTCTATTCCGACTTTGGCGTTTAGATCTCCCATCAGAATGGTGAAGTCCTTTCTTGGGCACTTCTCTATGATTGACTGCAGCCGCTCGTAGAATTGATCTTTAATGTCGTCGTTGCTATCATTGGTGGATGCATAACATTGGATAATATTCATTGTGATCCTCTCCTTCTTTGTTTTGAATGATGCTTTGATGATTCTGGATCCATGAGATTCCCATCCTACAAGTGCATTTCGTGCTACTCTGGACAGCATTAGAGCAACTCCCTGAGTGTGTGGAGCATTTTCCTCTTCATGACCGGAGTATAGCAGCATCTCTCCCGTAGCTAGCCTTTTCTGTCCAGCTTGGGTCCAATGGGTTTCGCTGATTCCCAGTACTGCCAAGTTGTATCTCCTCATTTCCTTTGCTATTTGACTGGTCTTCCTGGTCTCCCACATTGATCGGACGTTCCATGTACCTATAAAAAGTTTTGCTCTGGTTGTTAGAAGGGGCATCGGTCTCGTGGCTTCCGAAGGAACTCGGCTTTCACCATGAAGCGTCATAATTCTTCTAAATGAAGACCTTCTAACTCCCAGGGCGGAGTTTAAATGGTTTGAATTATTTTTTTCTGATCAGCGTTCTTTTTTAGCGAGTTTGTTTTCTACAGAATGGGGTCGCTGACCCCATGCCCAACCCTTTTCCTTTACGCGGGCTTGGGGCCGGCAGTAACTCTAGAAGAGCTACAGGAGGAGTTAGGTAGGTAGCAGCTGTGTAAAAATATCCCTGCCTAAAAAATTAGCTTAGACAACAACTTATGAGTATTTATTAAAGGTAAATCTGAAGGTTCAAGTTTCGACTGTTAACTTTTGATCCCCTAAACTATCAAAACTGTAACTTATTGTTTCACAAAAACTCTAAATCTAGATGGATTTTCTTTTACTTAGTGTTTATGTTATTAAATAACTTAAATCTCAACAAGAACTAATTATTTGGTGGTCACATGTTA